TCAAGGGGTCACTATCTTTCAGGTCCCGGGTTCTATTCATGGTCGGATCAACGATGAAAATTAACTTTTTATATTGTATCGAGTCTGGTACCTTCGTTGTTACAGATTTCTAAATATCGCTGCCCCGATCAGGCCACAAAAATCAAATAATATTAAAGTAATAATAATATATTTTTCTTTTCCCAAGTATCACATTAATCTTAGACTAATACAGCCTTTTCTTTTCTTTTTACTGTTCGGACCATAAAGTAAATTTTTTGTAATCTATACTATAATAAAAACGTAACCGATCGATGTCTGTACATTGAAGATATATGAAAAAAACTGTTATAAGGGACATTTATAAGCGTAATAGAATACAAAACAATGATTTTTTAATTTTTTGTCTGTTTGTCGGTTTGTCTGTTTGTCTGTGCGTTTGTGCACGATAATCTCAGAAACGGCTGAATCTATTTAAATTCAGTTTTCACTATTATGTTGCGGCATTCTTCCGTTAACATTTAGTGTAAGATTTATTTCAATCGGTTAACAAATAAAAAAGTTATGTCAATTTGAAGTGACGTGGTCGCCAAAATTGCTATGAAATATTTACTGTTTTATTAAATTTTCGTCTTTGATATATTGATCATCATCATCAACTCTTTCACAGCCAAACTGCAGGGCCTCAGGCCTTTGTTTAATAATTTTTGGTCACCCATCCCGTACACAACTCTTGCGAAAATTGCTTAGCAATAGCGATCGTGCGCAGCGGCGCATATCCGTAGCGCCACCGAGCTACGAATTAATATTGTCTAAAAAATGAAAATTTGTATGAAAACAAATAAAAAAATAAGATTCCAAACTTTTGACTACTCGAAGTATGTTGACCTCATTTCTATATGGCCAATCATATTAAATAGGGTTCAGCTTATAATAGACGTGTGGTATACGATCACGCGAGTAGGAGAACTAGCGGAAAGAGCCTTCCGATGATGCAATTAAGCCTCGAGTAGTTTACAGTGAACGCATATTTTTATCAGATTAGGTTCACGTCGTCGTCGGGGCCAGCGGAGGTGGTTGGCAGCCGCCCCCGGATTGCACGGTTTCGTCTGTCTGGGAGAGGCACTCGATTTACCCAAGCCTCTCCAATTTCATCTGCAATGGGACCAATGGTCCAATACTTGAGTGTCCTGGTGGCTCGGCCATAGCTTGCCGGGTTTCGTCTCCCATGAGAGGATGTAGCGTACGGGTTTTGGTGGGTAGGCCTCTGGGGACCTACTGGGCAGCTCACTGTCGGATTCACGGAGGAGAATCCTACTCACCCCTGTTGCTTGCCAGGTAACAGAGACAATGTCAGAAGTTTTTCCACGACGTTAAAAAAGTTAGATTCACGTCAACTGAAGTTAAGAACGTAAAGACAACTCGATTATATATTTTTTTCTCTTATTACTATTTTTTTATGTTAATACTCTTTTTTTAACATACAAATTGCTGTAGATACGTACTTCAAAGTTGGTATTTTCAGTCTTCGCTGGAAACAATGGTTTATTCATTGGTCACAACACTATATAATATTACGCGAGTCCGAGGATCGGTTCAGAGTAGCTCGGTGGCGTAGTGAATAAACGCCGAGGCTCACGATTGTAGTTGTTAAGCAACTTTCGCAAAGGTCTTTAACAGGATGGGTGACCAAAAAATATTATCTCAAGCAACTCCAAGCTTTGGAAGGCACGTAAAGTGATTGGTCCCGGTTGAATTTGCAGTCGTTAATATCCTCCAATTCGCATTGGGCCAACATGGAGGGTCGTGGCCCATCCTCCTTAATCCATAAGGCTCCTGCAGTTGGTGACGTAAATGAGCTGATGATGATGATGTGGGCCGTTCAAATCTGACGGAAGCTCCGTTAAGCACCTCTCGGAAGTATGTGTTAGAAGACGATTTCCTTCGAGTGTGGAAAGTCGAAATTAAAATATGTATATATTTTTTTATATCAATAAATAAAACTCCACGTATCTTCCTTCAGACATGTACCGACCGATTTTTATTGACAAAGAAAGAGATCGGACGGAAAGCGCTCGGTCTCGGGAGATACCTGAAAAACGTGAAACGTATTTAACTGCCTAACGCCAGGCTCATGCACTATAAAGTTGAATCTGAAGCATTTACTGTCAGGGACAATCTCTTGAGCTCTCGGAGAATTCATACAACAAGCGTTTGATCTCAGAAAACTTCTGAAGATCGCATAGCGTGTCTAACTGCTGATCGTAATATACATGCAGTATGGTATGAGTATGAAACTTCCTTTCATAGAGAAATGCGCTTGGTCTCTGAAAGAGCTCGCAGTTTGCACAATAGAGATCGAGAAAGTAGTTTCGATGAATGCAACACGGGTTGGCGACCCGTGTTGCATTCATACTCCACAGGCGTACCGCAGATAAGTTTTCACTAGGTGTAATGATCTAGCTGTCTTTCCGCGATTTTGCCGCAAAATTATAGCCTATGACATCCGTGATGTAACTTCCCGTAGATAGAATAGCTCTGAAACTATCGGTCCAGTAGTTTTTGGGCAAATGTTTGTTATTATTAGTATATCTTAGGTATAAGAGGTCCGATGGCGTTAGTGGGTTGGCGCATTCGATTTAAATTGCAGTGAAATAAATAAGTAAAATACTGCACAACAAGGACATACATGAATCCTTATTTTACGTTACTTAGTACAAACGACAAACTCATCGCTAGCAAGCGATTTCTTCCAGGCAACCTAGCATTACATGGAAAAAAGAACAATAAATAGCTGATTGTGCATACAACTAGACAAATAATAATCATTTAAAAAGATCAAAAACAAAAGAAGGACAGTTTCAAGGTATGAATAAAATTCTCAGACACAAACGACAACCAGAGCGCGAGAACAAGAAAAAAGATAGAAAATTACATTCGTAAGGACAGGATGGGTGACCAAAACATTATTATCCTGAGCACTGTGCACAACACCGGCACAATGTACGTTAAGCCGTTAGTCCTGGCTGCATCAGTAACGTTAACACCCACCGATCCGCATTAAGCCCGCATAGTGGGTTATGGCCCATTGATCTTATTTGATTCGACTCCATCCATAGGAATAAAAGAATTCTACCAAAATACTTCCCACGCAGACGAAGTTGCGGGCACAGCTAGTTGTTAATAAATTTATCTGTACCTTAGGCCCTTGATCCAATGTGAGATGATACAGATGAATTGATAATTGTATATGGTTATTGATAATTTATAATAGTAAATATTTTAATGTTACTATCAATTGAGTGTATGCAGTGTTCTCTTTTAAGTGGTTAGGCAATAGGTATGTATTTTTGTGCATTTCTTTTTATATTGTCATGTAACATCGTGTTCACTGTTAGAGAACAAAAATAAATAAATTACAAGTGCTGAAAGAATAGATAATTTGGTATCTGAGCAATACATGTGCGATGTTATATTATATCCATTTATCAATCTATTTATAAACTAAATTTAAAAAACAAGATTTTAGGTGTCCATTATAATAAATCAAGATAGACAAATAACCAAAGAGCTTTTATACTTCTTTGTTCCTTATATTTTCACGCATATACATTAAATGCAACGTTTTAATGTGTGTCTTTTAAAATTCATTACATTTCTCAGTTGTTACGGTGCATTTACAGGCTCTTGTGAATATGGCAGGATCCGAAACGTATGGAAATGTAACACTCTTTTCAGAAATTCACGCAATTAAACCGTTTAGAAGTAGTTATTTTAGTACACCGATCGATTGCATGCGAAAACGAAACAATAAAAAAATCTTTTGAGTTGTTTATCAATGTTTCCCGTGTGCTTTGTCTCGCTTTATTGTTAGTTAGACGAAATAGCTGCGTCCTTGTCAGTACTGTTTCGTAGGCAAGTGAGAAAAATGTCGATACGCAGACGCTGATGTTTCACATTCGCACTTTGTTCAAATGCGTCGGTGTTCTAACGGCGTGTTTTAATTTTACAGGCGAGTTGACAATGTTTAAAACGGGTTTAAAACTATAAAAAATATTTTTAATCAGTTTGTTTTAGCTCTACACCAATGTTGCACTTTCTACTTAATGAATTTCTTAATGTGCTCTTAATAAATATTATTCTAGCGATAGTTCTAGATCGCCAGTTTCTGGGCGACCGGTATCAAACTGTGTTGGACGAACTGAAGGATTACATCAAGGAGTCGACGAGGGTTGAGCTGAAGCATGGAGGTGTTGTCGTTCATTATTATTCATGGAGTGCTATAAGTCTTAAGAAAGGTAATGAGTTGTTCGAACGTCAATCTATCTCTTTACCCATAAATCTGCAATGCGGCCACTGATATGTATTTTTTTTTGTAATCGTTTCGTCATTATCGTCTGTTACAAGCACTTGTGAAAGTCGAAACTCTATGCCATCGGTTTTTTAATCCGCAGTAAATTAGAGGAGATTAGCTAGTTTGATCTCAATGGTGACCGAAAATTTATTGTCTCGAGCTTCTCAGTGTTTCGAAAGGCATGTTAAGTCGTTGGTTCTGGCTACATCTGCCGTCGTTAGCACCCACCAATCCGCACTAGGCCTGCATGGGGTCATGGCCCATTCTCCTCGATTCGATTCAATTCCGTCCGTACCAAAGCCCTTTACAGCAGTGACATTATGGCGGGACATTAATAGACTGATGACGATGTAGTGAAGGTGTGAGGTGAAATTTTAAAAAGCATTTTAAAGTTCCTTTTGTTTAATTAGCCTCTGTAGATTGTCGATTTTCCTAATTGTGATGTAACTATGAAACCAATACATTTTAGTAATATGTAGGTGACGCTGAAAACGTTTAGAAAATAAATATAAGTATACTTTTTAAATCAAATGAAAGGGCTTAACTTACTGAATACAATCACCAGATATAAATATATTTTTAAAATTTTACTTGTTCATTCTCCCATTACTAAAAATTCTTGAAATTCCTATACTATTGCATATTTCAAAGGTATGTTTTTATAGGATTTCTAGCAGTGTTCAGCGTAGCTTCGTGTGAAGACACATGGTCTCTCTATTCTCGTACGGAAGAAGAAGAGCTTCTTTTGTTCGCTCTGACAGAACTAGATTGTCCGAGACTGCCAATGGACAATGCTATAACTGTCACGTATGTGGAACCTGGGGAAGAACTGCCACAAATAATACTAGATATGAGGACATCGAGAGCATTTAAGTGGAAATCAGCTGTGATCTTACACGATGACACATTAAGTAGGTTGATTATTATTAAAGTAAATGAGTTTACTAAGAAAAAGCTCTTCTCCTTCGACTTCTCCCGTGTAAATAATAGCTCATATCACGCTCTTATCATGTAGCTAGTTTCATGACCGGATCAGTATTTCCGAAGATTACCCCGTACAAACAAACAAACAAAGTCTTTAAAATATTTGTGCGATATATTATTCTTTGCTGATCACAGTACAGTAAAACCAACAGAGTTGATATACTGTAGCGATTGTAAATAGTGCTCTATCCAGGTTTATTCCAATCAAATTGAAATAAGCTTTCTAAATACGTAGAGACATTACATAGTTAATATACTTGTGAAGAGTAAGACAGAGAAATTTGTGGATTCAACAAAAACTCGTTCTAAGACCTGATAACAGATAACTACTAATAAAAATATTGCCCCTAATATAGTCGTTGGATCCAAGGAATTGTCGAGTGGATGATATAGGTGTTGATGATTAGTTCCTAATGAGAATCGAGTGAAATTTGTTTTTTTTACAACGCAAATGTACTCCTCAACTTCATTCCCCTGCAAGGCTCTAGTTTTCTAAGTGTTTTATCGTCTAATATTATACAACCCACTTTAATAGTTTAGACCATTCTGTTTGTTCTTTCGAAATTGTAATGTTTGCAGGTCGTGATATGGTATCACGCGTGGTACAATCGCTCACGTTACAAGTAGCCGAGGGTACAGCTACCTCACCCGTGTCAGTCTCTGTTTACAAAATGAAACATGAGATCAACGAGTATTTGAGACGGAAAGAGATTACCAGAGTACTTTCAAAATTGCCTGTGAAGTATATAGGTGAGTACAAACATCTTACATGCCCTACATATTTCACTAATCTTAAGATGGGATATATTAAGGGCACTGGGAAGCTCTAAGACTAATGATTTATACTAAATATTTTTATAGCATATGAAATTAAAATTGATTTGGATATTTTATATAGTTCAAAAAAGCAAATTGTAGGTTCACTTGCGGATTTACCAATAAGATCGTTGGCTGAAACTTAGAGGCGGCAAATATTGTTTTGTCTAGTAAATCAATAAGATAATCATACATGAATCAAAGATTTATATCTTAATACATTATAAGGTATATAATGTTTCGCCATTTTCTACAATTAAGCTGTCGAATCAATTTATTTGTTCTCTTTGCTATCTAAGATATCCGGAGCATCCTTGCCAGCGACACATTTCGAAGGCGTCGGTCTATGTACGATCTACAGCATGAATTGTCTAGGATTTAGATGCGTACAGGATGATTGAGAATATCAGTGTGCGTACCAGTCTCATTTTAGTAAAATTGGAGACGTTTCTGTTTTGCCATATCCTCGTCATTTTGCTCATAGCATTTTTTGCCATTTGTGTTCGGCAACGAAACTCCTTGTCACAACCGCCTCGGTCGCTAATCATGGATTCGAGGAAGCTGGCCTGCTTTGTTGATGCACATAATTTTAGTTTTTTATCCATTGATCGACAGACCAAGCTTCTCGCTTCGCATCCCACCTTAAGAAAGAGTTTAACCAGTTCGCTCTCTGTTGCCGCAAATAGAGTTGTGTCTGAGGTTTGTGATATTTTTCCCACCTATTACGATTCCATCGTCCCATTTATCTAGAGCTCTTCTCATGATATATTAGCCGTATGTGTTGAACGGGTGAAGGTCTAGTATACTAGTATACACTCCTCTCTCTGGTTTAAATGCTCGTGAGATCACATCATTAATCTTGATATTCGCCTCACCACCTTCATACAAGCTTTTAATCAAAACCGTAAAATGCGAAGGGACACCCATTTCCTGCAAAATGCGCCACAAGTAGTTCACTACATATACAAAAATTACTTCGTGTAATCAATCAAGCAGAGAAACATCGGTACATTAAACTCCCGGCTCTTTTCTGTTATTTGCCTTATGTTTATAATTTGTTCTCTGGTTCCTCTGCCTTTGACAAAACCAGCTTGTTCACTTGGTATATGCCATTGAAGGTAAGTTTGTAGGAGTTTGTTGATCACGTAAAGCATTATCTTGCTGGTGTGAGAGATGAGTGCCACAGTCTGATAGTTTATGCACTGTTTTGTCAACCCCTTTTTGTGAATAGAGAATTGTTAAAGACTGTTTCCAGTCGGTTGGCTATTTGCCTGTTCGCCAAACTTGCACAAATTAAGCAGGATTTCCACACCTGCGTCGCTAAGGTGCTTTTAAACTCTTCCGCAAATACAGTAACAACTCCAGCTGACTTGTTTGTATTTAGCTTGCTTAGGGCATCGCTAACCTATGCCCTAAGCAATTCAGTATTAGAGGTTCGCTGTTATCGTCTTCCAGCTGGAAGAGAATTACATGAAACCTGAAACAGTATAAGTGTTTTTTCTGAGCTCCTGTTGTTTGTATACAGGTCTTCACAATAAAACCGTTACCTCTCAGTCACTCGATCTATAACTATTATAAGCACTGCTCACAGGTCCAGGTTTTGGATTGAACTCCCGAACAATGCTATTTACTTTTAGGAATAATTCTCTTATGAGCAGGTGTTGCGCGTGTTCTTCAAGGTCTTGGCATATTGAGTTCAGGTATTTATTGTAGTTCCTGCGACACAGACGCTCGACTTTGGCTGTGAACATTTGATATTTGGTTTGTGTATCAAAGTTCCTTCCTTTAAGTAGTGTATTTCTTTCACTTCCGCAGTCGGCACCAGAATACGTTTTAGTGTTGGTTATGCAGGATCTCCATCGTTTAGCAATCATAATATAGTCGATCTGTTTCCTACATCGATCTCCAGGCATTATCCAAGTGTATTGTCTTCGCAGGTGATGCTGGAAGCATCTATTCATGATTATGAGGGAGTTCTCGGTGCAGAATTGAACACTCGTCTCTCCTCTGTTATTTCTATCTCTTAATCCATTTCTTCCAACAGTGTCTCTAGTAAGGTTATCATGAACTTTGGAGCCAACTTTGCATCCAAGTCACCAAGAAGTAGAGTTATATCTCTTTTAGGTAGGTTGCTCACTATCCTCTCTTTCATTAACCTCGATGTCAGAGATTAATTAGCTGTTGGTGCGTAGACTACTACAATATTCAAGCGGCAGGCTTTGGCGTCAAGTTTCATAGTTAAAATTTGGAGTCAATGCCTTTGCTACTTTATAAATACTTAAAGTAAAGTAGTAAAGTAGATTTATAAAAAGTAGTTCCAGTGGTCGCGAGCATCACCACCCCTCCGCATTTTCTTGCATAATTCGCTTTTGAGATAAGTTTTATAGATCACTTTTTAAAGTTTGAAGTTGGTTATATATATTTTTTAAAGTTTTTATTACTACATGATAGAGCTCAGAGAAATGCCAAAATCTCTTTCTTTTGCAAACTTACTAAAGATCTGGATTGTACAAACAATTAAATCATAATTACTGTATAAACTACCACGATAGTATCTGTAGGTATAAATTATAAAGTTGCAAAATATTTTTCAGCAAAAATGAGGGATACTTATACTTTTTATTCCACTAAACATTTCCCTAGGCACCACGCGGTCGAAGTCGCTGGCGAAAGATAGTACATAATATAACTAAGTCCCTTCCCGCTGTCTGTACGCCGAGATCATTTAAGCTACACAACGGTTTTATCGCAGTTTTCATCAACAGCTAAAGTTATTTAAGAGGAAGGTTTTTAAGTACAGGATTATGCGAGCGAAGCCGTTGGCGGAAAGCTACTATTTATGTAATATACTAAATTTGGAATAGCAAGTTTAATAGTTCATGACTAAGAAGTGGTAAATATTATTTTCAGCCGTAGTGCCTAAATAGCTAGATCGAGCCCTGAGTAGGGACGGTAGATTTTTTCTAGCCTACAAATGTGCAAGTCTGCTATTGTATACACTAAACATTAAGATACAAGACGATGGTCGTTCATTTGAGTATTCAAGATGATTTCTAATGTTGCCAGGAGAAAATTTCATGGCAATAGTTACCACAGAGGTGATGACGACCATGTCGGAGATAGCTCGAGACCTCCTAATGTCGCATACGTTGGCGCAGTGGTTGTACGTCATCTCTGATACAGACATGGAAAGAGGCAATATATCTAGTCTCATTAATGCCCTTTATGAGGGTGAGAATGTCGCATTTGTATACAACATCACAGACAAAAGTCCCGATTGTAAAGTAAGTAATATTAACTCACAATAAGTCTTTCCGTCCTTGTATGCTGTTCTAAAGTTTTCATCATTTAAAATTATTTCAAACAACAAATTGATAATAAAAGCACACCTAAAAATTACTATTGTGGATGCATGGTTTAGTATGCATTTTTTAATTTTTTGGCTTCCAATTAGTCGTTTTTAAAGTACATTTAGTCTGGCATATTCTTTTTTCTGTTTTCTGAACAGAAATTCCGATTTGGGGTCCCGACCTTACGAAATCTAGAACGACACGCACAGGTTTGTTTCGTTTTCAGTTGAGAAAACAAGCTGCACGCCAATTCTGCTAATGTAGTCAAGTAGTTCAGATTCTATTGAGACGCGATTAAAAGAGAAAATGCGAAAATAATTTTATCTCGATACAATCTCAACTACTTCCATTTTACCTTTGTACTATCAACCTGAAGTCCAATATAATTATATATCTGTCACCTTTGATATGTGAGGAAGACGGGTTATGTCAGTTTTGTGTTCAGTCAAACCTTTTTTTTGTCATGTTTCCACTATTTTTTTTATTATAAATATTATAATTATTTAAACATACATTAGCAATATATACTTACAATTTATATACAGAATGGATTAATGTGTTACTGTCAAGAAATGATGAGCGCATTCATATCAGCGTTGGATGCGGCGGTCCAAGAGGAGTTCGATGTGGCAGCGCAAGTGTCTGACGAAGAGTGGGAGGTCATCAGGCCGTCGAAGATTCAAAGGAGATCCATGCTGCTGAAACACATGCAGGTAAAGTCTTTACAATTTAAAAATTGCTTTTTTCTAGAAAAGTATTTCGAAGTTTCTACAAAAGCAACAATATTACTTGAGACTGCACAAGGTGAGTTTTTATCATATTCCCGAATCATGATGTATAGAATTTAAGTTCAAGTTGACCAATAAGAACATGCGACTTTGAAGGCATTTTCAGTGTTTTTTATCACTTGCTCATTCCACAACATGGCCTTCTTAAGGCATCCCTAGTATTTGTAGCGAAATACTTTAAGGATATTTAATAGGCTGATGAGGAATGTTAAATGAGTTTCAAAAAACTTCTTCAAAGAAAAAAGAAATGATTAGGTACTTATGTAACATTGTTCTCCCCGTTAATGTACAGCAATACATAGCAGCCAAGAGTTCATGCGGCAACTGTAGCACTTGGAGGGCTTTGGCGGCGGATACTTGGGGCGCTACTTACCGAGCTTATACAGACACAGACCAAGTTATTCAAGACACAAACCCTGTGGGAAATGTCACCCCGGGTATTATTGAGCATGTAGAGTTGTTACAGGTGAGAAGCGACTTATGGGTTATCCTGTATAATTATGCTAAATAAATAAATATTACCCAGTTACACAAACGTCTATTAAAATTGTCCTTAGCTTAAAGCGACATGACCGGTGGGTACAAATTTTCAAATTTAGAACATCATTTATACTTGCAGTTTAAATTCATAATAAAAAAAATATACGTTTGTGCAACTGGGTGTGAGTCACTTTCATAAAACATTCGTAATTCTTCATAAGAGAAGAGCGGAGACAATGATAAATAATTTTTGGAATCATCAACAATGGAGGAAAACATAGGGAAAAATCAACAAGTATTATGCTCAACTAACCAATTGGAGCGCATAACTAATTGTGAAGCCGGGAAGGGAAGGCCTTTGCAAATTTTTTTATTCATGACGCTACTGATTTCGTATTGCATCTGTGAATATGTTACGTATTACATCGATGATTGTTTTTGCTAATCGCAATATGCTTGTATTTGTTTTGTGTAATAATTCATGTTATTCCGTAGGTAGGATACTGGAGACCGATCGACGCGATAAGGTTTAACGACGTCTTATTCCCTCACGTAGAACATGGATTCCGTGGAAAAGATTTACCTGTCATCACTTACCACGTAAGCTTCATCTGAATCTTATATTATTGGTGGACAATGATCTTTATGTATAATTTATATTTGATATTTAGAATCCTCCATGGACGATACTGCAAACTAACGAGTCTGGTGCTATTGTCAGTTATAAAGGACTTATCTTTGATATCGTCAATCAACTTGCGAAGAATAAGAACTTTACGTAAGTTTGCATGTATTACTTGGCATTAGTTTAAAGCAACTAAATTAATATAATATGGGTTGTCTTTTATGATTAGAAAAAGCGTTTTAAAGAAGGGTAATTTATGTTATACCTATAACGTTGTTTGGATATTATAAAAATTAACAGTTATTTAAAAGATCTAGATTATGCTAGAGAGCTAGCTAAGGTAAGATTAAACAGGAGAGTTTTTCCTATGTTTTCCAATGTTCCAAATTATTGTGATGGTCGAATAAAATATTTATTCGTACATTAGCATAAAAAATTAATCCAAATATACTAATGAGTTACTTATTTTAAAAAACATTATGAATGATATCTCTCTATTTGATCGATAAATTATGTAGTAATAATCCTAGAAATGTTATTTTACATAAGACATATGTTGAGTATTAATTTATATGTAAGAACATATGTATGTACCGACATGGAGCAATAAATTATATGACTATAGTATTCTATTCCGAATGCTTCGTGGTAGTGTATTTAGTTATTAGTCACCCCATCGACTACGCTGTTCATGAAATCAGCTTTATTATTGACATTGTTGTAAATGCAATTTTAGGATCAAAGTATTGCTGCCGAATAAGCTGAGACGTTTCTTATCGAATGATTCCTCTGAAGACGTAAGTACATATCTACTTTTATATTAGTAGATACCCTGGCCTATGCCGAGTATATGAAATTAAATGAAAATGTCTTTATTCAAGTAAGCTTGCTAGCACTTTAAAAAATATTTTTCTCCTACCACTCCTTCAGGACGTCTTTTAGATGACAGAAAATCAGATTTTATGTGCGAAGACTTCTCAAGGGTCAGCATGTGGAGTGCGGATGATCTCTGCGCTTATCTCATTGGTCAATAAAACAATGACCGACCAATGAAAGCGAAGAATAGAAACCACCCGCACGCCAAACGCTGATGTCATCAACCAATATTACTGAGTCATATTGATAATCAACAGTTATTTTGCCATCTGCAAGTGTTCTCCGCATGTAAATAATTCAGTGCTCTTATTGCAGGTTTACTAAAGTCTCACGTGTTCCAAATTCATGTCAGAAAATAACCTTTAAATGCGGTTTCATTCACTTTGATCACCTGGTTTCTCTAATTCCAATGAAAGTACGAATTTGACGAAGCCCTTGTCTATTCCTTCCGCAAAATATTTAAATTGAAAGTACAGAAAGTTATCTGTAGATTGAGTTACGGCTGAGAAGCTGTTTTACATCAATATATTTCAGTATTGCATTTAAAGTTTGTTTCTACTCGGTTTGCACCACCACAAGAATAAGGGTCAGGATGCACGACGCCTGCATTTTTTCTGTACTTGAAGGACAGAGTGTCAAGAATCAACACTATCCTTTTAGTACATAGAACTGCAATTAAAAATTATTTTAATGTTTTATTATTTCTCGGGCTGTCAAAAAATTATTAGACGTCATCTACAGTTACCTCACATCAGTTATTAACAAATTTGATCTGCTTCAGATGTCACACAGTCGGGACTCGATGCTGACGCTAGCGGCAATTTCTAAAGGACAAGCCGCTATTGGAGTCGCTGCTTTTACTGTCCTTTCTGAACCACCACCAGGTTAGAAGTGCTTGGGATCAGTAAAATCAGGACTATATTAGAGATTATTTTAATGGGGGTTGATTTATTTTCTAATTTCATAAACAATATTAATAAAATCAGACGTCGTTTTGAAGAAGTCAATTGCAATAACTGTAAAACTATGGTAAAACAATATTTAACAACTTCCACGTCCAATTCTGGCATAGGACTGTACACCAACTGGAACTTGAAAGTTTTACTTCTCAATGGAGCGTTCATTGGAGTTGTTAAAACCCGCGAGTATTCCACTAGGTACGTCAGTGGATGTTAACTGAGATTAACCACTTAGCTTTAACATATAGTTTTACATTTGAATGAAAAAAAAGTGGTGATTTAAAATAAGAAGATCGCATTAACTGGAATTTGGAATTATGACGTATTAATTGGAAAAATTGTATGTGTTCTAGGTATAAACTATACTACAGCAGTGAGCTCTCAACAATATTGCTTCATGATAGCCCGGCCGCGGGAGCTGAGTAGAGCACTGTTGTTTTTACTGCCTTTCACAACGGACGTATGTATGATATACTAATGAAACCACACTTTTTATAGCTACTTTATTTCACTGTTTTTTTCTTCATTTCACCATTATTTTTAAAACATACAAATAAAATAGTTTGTATCGATCAAAATCAATATTATTTATTCGTCTAGAGTTAGACGAATAGGAGCTCGATGGTGCAGTTGTTAGCGCCCTCAGTCTGCTATAAAGCTGTACTGCGATACTTTCGCAAAGGCCGGTTATATGACAGATGACCAAAAATTTATTGTCTCGAGCTCCTGCGTGTTTCGGAAGGCATTTTAAACCGGATTCTATCCATAGGGAAGGCCTGACTGTCTGATTGAGAACATTAATAGGTTGGCGTCGATATTGTTAAACCTGCCACTAAAACTGTGCCATTGATTCGTAAATCTGTGGTGGGAGATCTTGTACTGAGAAGAACCGGCAAGCAAACTTATCTCTGGTTGTTTTGTTCTCCTGTTACGTTTTGTACAGATAAAATCACATTAAAACATGACTAAAATATGAAATAACTTTTCATTAGAAGCAGGGCGAACATGTAACTAAAGGGAAATAAATATTTAAATAGTTCAGAAGACAGATTTTCTCAAGCAACACCCGTTCATAAGCATAATATATAAGCTAGTCATCGTTTCACTCGACCACAGCGTGTAGCAATCTTAATGACGTAACTTTCGTTATTTTTATTATTAATGTAAATTAACTAATCGGGTTCCTTTTTCCTTGTATTACTTTATGACGTAGAGTGTGTGACGTACCTATAACCAGTTGAGTTAAAATGCCCATATTCCTCAGTTTGTGTCATTGACATTTCAATTATATCTCTTTTTTGATGTTCTTGTTATTAGATCATAAATTTATAAAAAACAAAATTCTATCGCCATTGATTCATAAAGATGACATTTTCCTAAAAATACAGTAATTAAATGCATTAATTGAAACGTTAACATTATAGAATAGAGTGAGATTCCGGTATGTCACTATAACCTATCATTACCTATTTCGATATGTGACGTGTGTATAGTATGCTTGACGGGGTTAATGTTGTAATGACAGTATTTGTTAGACTTTTTCATGTACTCGTGTATCTATTGTGTATTTTTGATGTACTCTATAAGGATAAAATACTCCACGTCATATATAATGTTCAATATAGGAGTACCTATACGACCTGAAGAGCGATTCCATAAAAATCCTGATTCGAATTCACTCATGTGGCCAAAGTCACGTCATTAAGTGTATAAATTATAGTGATACCATTTTCTTCAATAAAAATACAAAACAAAATTGATTGATTCATACGTGTCTCAGATATTCTATTTCTATGTAATTTCGAAACTCATTTCATTTATGGCACGAAACACAAAAAAGGATTAAATACAAGTGGCGTTTTAAAAGTGTTCCTATTTTTTTCCAAAATCTCCCGAGTACAATTTACGAAGCATTGGCCGTTGTAAATAATTAAAATGTTTATTTAATTCCACACTTCACAGACATGGCTTTGTTTGGGTTTTGGTGTAATCCTTATGGGACCAACATTGTACCTGGTGCATCGGTTCAGTCCGTATTACGAGGCTATGGAGATAACCCGCCAGGGAGGACTGGCCACTATACATAACTGCCTTTGGTATGTGTATGGGGCGTTACTGCAGCAAGGTCAGTTCTTCGTTACATAGCCTACTGTCAGACAGCAATATTATTTCTTAATTACTGCTCTTTTATTATCTGTATTGCTTGTGTGATTTATTTGAAATAGTTGCATGGTATATAATCATCATCATTTAATTTTGAACTTTACTTGCGTCTCCGCTAATCAAATTTTCTAGGTTAAAGCTGAAAATCAGCATCTTTTGCATCGTTTCGGCACACATGCAGACTTGTGTATGTGTTTTTATTTAAAACTTTTTTTCTTTCATATTTTGTGTCTTTGTATTCACTTAACTTTTATAATTCTCGGCATGTGTGTGTGTGATATATGCAAATAAAATTATTATTCATTCATTAATTCAACTGCTCAATTTGAACTCCTTTACTTGATATTGAGTAAAGCTTACTTTGCCGCTATTGTGTATTAAGTAGCTACTCCACAAAAGGTATAAGACACAAATCAATGAATTATTTAACCATAGCTCCTCATCAGTGCTATTAAGAAACAAGGTTTAGCGTCAGAGTAAATTTACGGTAAAATTGTAATTGTAGTATTAGTCTAAATTCATATTAACAAACCTACTAGCTACCTACCTTCTAGGAGTCAATATTACTCTCGTAGAGCCTCTTACTAGGATGAATTGCTAAATATCTATTTAGTAACATGAATTTTGATTAATACTAAGTGCAATCCCAGCGTATATATACTTCAACGCCAAACCTTATTAATAACAATCTATTTGTTTAAACATGTGGTAATAACAGTTTTAAGTTCAGTTGTTATTCCTAACATATCTATAGTTTTATACTAATTAAAAGCGTCCAAATATTTAATCATAAAATAAAAGAACATATTGTGAACAAAACTTATAATAGTTAAACAATTAATGAGATTTAAAATTCATCATTTTAATGGTCGCGAACATAATCTTAAAAATATGAAATGTCCGGTAGTTTATTAAATATACTGATAAACATACAGTATGAATAATGGTTGTGCAGTTTTAGTAGAATTAAAAACATGTGCACGAGTCATCGAAATAAATTCAAGCGATAAATGGACGGACAGACGGAGAGAAAACCGACTGATGCTATAAGGATTCCATTTTTTACTTTACTATTTGAACAACTAAATACAATAGGAGTGTCAGTTTGTAATATAAAAATAACCGGTTTTATTTAAATGCATATATGTACGTAAACACGGTAAATATAAAATATATTTTTTAACATTTTATGTCTGTCTGTTCCGCCTAATCTCTGAATTGGCTTAGCAGATTTTGGCGGGCCTTTCGGGACGGAATACTAACATATACTGCTATATGCCCGGTGGGTTTTTTTTTATGAGATAGGGGGCAGACGAGCAGACGGATCACCTGGTGGTAAGTGAGTACCGTCTCCCATGGACACCTGCAACACCAGAGAGGCTACAAGCGCGCTGCCGGCCTTTGAGGGACGAATATAATCATAGGGAGGGAAGGGTTGAGGGGTAGAGGGAAGGGAATAGGGACGGGTTTGGCCTCCGGTGCCCTCACTCACACGACCAAACATAACGCAAGCATTGCTTCACGTCGGTTTTCTGTGAGGCCGTGGTATCTCTCCGGTCGAGCCGGCCCATTCATGCCGAAGCGTGGCTCTCGTGGTCCAAATAGCGTCTATTTGTAAACTATTTTAAATAAGTGGGCGCCTATTGGGGTTAAATATGAAAATTAAAAGGTTTACAATTAATATCTTAAGACATACTATCAAACGAATGAACTTGAACTGTGAATATATTTTATAAATAAAAAGTTTTTTAGTGATTTAAGGTAGGTAGGTGTAATTAACAAGTCAAACAAATGAATTCAGAGATGCCGATTCCCGATCCACGACGTTGGAAGTGGTTAAGGTTTATGTGCATCACATCTACCGCGCCAAAACGAATTTTGCTATTTTTTCATTATAATCGGAGAATTTATTAAAATACTAGACTAGATGCGGGGTCATCTAGTCAAGTATATTAGATATAGATAGTCTAGAATACTATAGCAAACTTGGCACTACAAGAATTATTAAATGTAAAACTACTAAGTCACACATACACCTGCGATGTATGCTTGTCTTGCTTTACTGTGGTTCTATTATTATACTAACTTTACCCGTGACTTCGTTTGTGCGGAAAGTAGTCTAAGTTACTCCTGATACTAACATATAGCAGTATATGTTAGTATATTATTTAGAGACGGTACTCACTTACCATCAGGTGATCCGTCTGCTCGTCTGCCCCCTATCTCATAAAAAAAAACCCACCGGGCCCACAGGCCCCTAGCGGACCGCCGTCTTCGCCCCTTCTTTAGTCTGCTACTGATCATAAATATAAATACGCGTTAAAGGACCCTTTTTTTATGTTAGCATGTTAAAAAGAGAAAAGAAACGTAAATGTATATCGTTACACACCACGTCTGTTCGATATTCGTGAATATCTAATACTATCAAATTAACTGTCCCGAGACCATGAAACATTACACAATCGACAGACTTGTTGTTATTCAAAAACAAGGTTTAATGACACCTTTAAGCTCTAATGAACTGAATAATGTTTAAACTAATGACAATTTTAATGGAGGTTTATGCAACTGACTGTTTATCTACTAGAATGATAGCTATTCACGGGATTACTACCATGAACCTAATGCTTATCGAGTCCCTTAATACCTTATGTTTCGGCGCCGTTGCAAGTAGGGTTGTCACCTTTTTTCCCAATTAAAGTACATTAGTTATTATAGGTACAGAAAAAAGTACATATAATCAAAATAAAGTATTTTTTTTCTTTATTATTTAACTTAAAAATATTATTTTTTTATTATCAATTCAGCATGAATCGATAAATTTTGTTAAACGAAAAAATACTTACAACTAAGCTTCAAAATCACAAACAAATCAAATCATGCGACATAAAATATTTTCGTGTACTGTATTGTTCTCATAGAGTATAGAGTACAATTGTCTGAAATAACGTACAATACTTTATTATAAAGTAAGGGTGGTAACCCTTGTTGCAAGCGCCATGATAATGGAGTATCTGAAGTCTGCGGGTGGATGTTATTAGCAGATATATCGAACTACCCTATTTTCAGTCGTGCTTTAGTCAAATGTTCCGCGAAGGCTGATTTTATGCGTTGTTGTTTCTGACTACTTTAACGTGTCCCTTTATTCGGCATGCTATTGTCCATTTTGTTTGGTCAATATATGATCCACCACAACTGCAGTCAATCTTAATATCGGGGACTTGATAAATATAAGTAACATGGTTGCATTTCCATAGATAGTTACCATTCTAGTGATAACCACCATGAAAGTTCACAGATTTGCCTACTATTTTCAGGAAACACCAACATAGATTAAAATATAATAAATTCATGGCGACTGAAGCTTTACTTTTCTTGATTTTGTTTTAATAAACCAATCTAATTATTTCTTCTACTGATACTGCAGCTATTTGTTA